AAGAGCGATAGCCTCCAACCTACGTACTATCGCTGGCCTCCAACCTAAGAGCGATAGCCTCAAACTACTATCGATGGCCTCCAACCAAAGAGCAATGGTCTCCAACCTACGTATTATCGATAACCTCCAACCGGAAAGCGATAGCCTCAAGCCTACATACTATCGATGGCCTCCAACCTAAGAGCGATAGCCTCCAACCTACGTACTATCGATGGCCTCCAACCTAAGAACGATAGCCTCAAACCTACGTACTATCGATGGCCTCCAACCTTAGAGCAATGGCCTCCAACCTACGTACTATCGATGGCCTCCAACCTAAGAGCGATAGCCTCCAACCTATGTACTATCGATGGCCTCCAACCTAAGAGAGCTAGCCTCAAACCTACGTACTATCGATGGCCTCCAACCTAAGAGCAATGGCCTCCAACCTTTAAGTACTGCATATTGCTTCAAATGACATTGACCTGTGAGGCCCTTAAGCACCTAGCAACGGCGTTCTTCTTTTGAACCATTTATGTTTTGCGACTCATCATGTAAGGCAAATGTGCTGGAAGCAGTCGGAACCTGCTATGTATGACAAAGGCCAAACGAGAAGAACTGGTTGAACGTATGCTGAAAGACCTTCTGCAAAATGGAAATTGTATGCATGAGCCATGGCAAGTAGTTGCATCCCACCTTGAAGATGGTGTCAGATGGGTGTGTCTTTTCCTGGTAAACAATAATCTCGACTAGGTGGCCATTGATTGCACAAACATGGCCCTGCTTGCTAGAATAGAGCTAAGCACGTGCATGGGCATGGTGCTGCAGGCAGACAGTTCCCACAATCCTTCAATATCCTTCATCAAGACTTTCTGATTTCAAGGAAAAATGGATCACGGTCACACTTAAAGCCATCGTGCATGTATAAATATATATATACATACATTTTGTATGCGCTAGCCACTCTGCCATGGTTGTCTTTCTGAGTTGTGCCCAGTCACTACAACCACGCCTGGGCGCTGAAGTCCATTGAAGCCACCCTGGAAAGCAGCGCAAACTGCTGTGACTGCTTAGACTTCGCTGTTCCAGTGTGCAAAAATGTATTGAGCCAGACTTCCTGACAGGAGTTTCTCATTCCAATTTGCCTAAGCTTGCACACAACGCAGCAACTTCGCGCACCCAAACTTGGTCCACCATACCCCTGGATTGCCTGCGCGAAAGCCGGATAGGCGGTCCAAGCGATCAGCTGTCTAGACTAGAAATCCACTGATCTCTGGTGTTGGCAACTCAGTGTAGATTCTTATGAAAGGCTAGGAAAAACATGAAAGTCCTAAAAAGGTCCAGTAGAAACCAAGCTAGAACCCTCAAGTGTGAAAAGCTACACTAGTACACTAATCTATGCAAATTCATATGAGAAAGCATCATAGCCACATTCACTCGTGGACCATATTGTGTGGACCCTCAATGTGCCCACATGCCACCTCTGAGGCTGCCTTTGCGGCGTTTTGCCTGCCAAACCAGTTTCCAATTGTCCGTCATTCTGTAGTTTTACAATCGTGCACTGATACTTATTTCTTATATTAAATGTGTTCCAATACGTTGCAAAAACGTACAATAGCTATGCCACTGTGCAGTGCAAATGGTCGACTTTAGAGATGCTGTGTCTTCAAAACCTAACCGCAAAGCGCTGGGCAAAGCTGGACAGCATTGAGACAGAACCCAAGTTGTGTAGAACTAACTAACTAACTAACTAACTAACTGACTGACCCCGTGTTCATGCCTGGTTCGCCATTGACTTGCTTGGCACACGGCACTTTTTACTATTCCAGAGTATGCTCTAAAAGCATTCAAAGAGCATCTTGGCTAAGAAGTAAAAATGTGCATCGAGGTAGTCACAACTCTCATTGATCTCTGAGGTCTCTGAAATGCGATTCTTTGCTATCTATACTTGCCATGCCAAAGAGTCCATCTCTTCTGCTGCACAAAAAAATATCCTGAAAGCTATGAAAAAGAGCCGGCATGATTCACAGGCTTGGCTATACACATGCTGCAGCAGCTAAGTCCGCCTTGAAAAAGCATGACGCCCTTGGAGCACGGATCAAGCTGCAAACATACTGATACTATTCCCAGTACAGTGTCAGCGTTTCTCGGCTCCGATGCATCCTTTTTGTCAGGCGCGAAAGCAATCATGTCAAGTCTAATCCACGTCGTGGATTGAGGAGAACTCCAATCAGACAGTGAAGGCTCCAACTGCTTCTGATGCATGATATTCTCTTACGATGGTTCAGAAGCAATATGGAAAAAAAGAGTGCAGGAGAACATTACATAAAGAAACGAAGCGGGAAAACTATGAAAAACAAATCATTGTAGAGCGAGAGTGACAAGGCTCAAAGCAGTCTTTGAAGAACTGCGTCAAGTGCAATTCTAGAAGCGATATCCTGCAATGCAGGATGGCCTGGACCTGTGCTTTTCAGGTAGCCTTTTGGTCAGCTGCCAGGAGCTTAAAGATTCCCAGCTTCAAAACCAAAATGTAAAAATGTTGTGGGTACATGATTGTGGGTGCAAGGCTAAGCTAGGATATTGACAAGGGCCCGAAGAGTTGTTTACATTGATTCATGGCCACCTCAAACTGGCGCTGTCACAAGCCCCTCCGAAAAAAGGGTAAGGAAGGCAGCCCATTGCGCCAGAGGCACTGTCACAAGCTGTCACAGCACGACCTGCCGGGCCCCTTTGTCATCCCGAGGTCAGAAGCACCGATGGCGAAAGCAAGAGCGATTCCCTGATGTCATCCTGTCGATTCTCTGCTGAGCGGGGTTACATCACATCAAAATACTATTGGCGAATGAAGCGATACCTGGTCATCATCAGTTATGAGGACAATACCCACTGCCATTAGATCATTCTCTTGCTTTCACGGTCGTGAGACCGTAAACCTTTCACTGAAAAATCGCAGGGCCTTAGTTGCTCGCGGATCAACTTTTGGCCGGTGATCAACACTCAGAATTGTCAATTGGAGCCAAATTAATTAACATCAAACCTATTGTGACAGCTCTTTTTTCCTTCTGCACACCTACATACAGGAGCCACAACCTGGTACAGGATGATAATCTTAGAGGCTGGGGAGGCCTGGTACGAATACGAATGGTGCTGTGGTGCTGCACTTGCAGCTTCTGGCAGCTTCTCACAGCTTCCCGCAGCTTCGCAGCTCCGGTCATATTTTCTTGACCTTCCCTCCCCGCACAATGGGAGATCTTGACTTTTTCTCGACTGCAGTAGAGACCCTTGGCAAAGGATGGATAGCAATCTCACACATCTCTACACTCTCTACATGGCTGCATAATACACGGAAGTCATGGGCCAGCTCCTGTCTTGTGACCTAGAGCGCAATTGAGACTCATGAGTTCATGCCCTTTATATCCGGCCACCAAAGGAAGTGTGCCTGTACTCTGCAGGTAGTATTTCTCCATGCAACATGCCAGCAAGCTCTCTAAGCTATGTGTCAACAACACACATCGTCAACACTTCAACACACTATATAATAGAAAAGTGTCAGCAGCAATAACTGGATGCTTCTATAATAAACATGTGTTTGTTCGAAACGGAAAGGAATTGGTGCCCCATTCGACATGTAACTGGGATTCCAAACGAGACTTGCTCTCGTCTTGGTTCATGAGAAGTTCAGGTGTCCAAGCCTTCAATTTGGACACAGGCCAGTCACTAGCCACAATTGAATAGCTCGATCGCAGGCTCTGACCCGATTCACATCCTTCAGCGTGTTACGATTGTAGAGAGACGAGAGACCGAAAAAGAATCAATTTACTGCCAATCTTCCGCCTCACCCGTCTTGCGCAAGCGAAGGTGGACCAAGCCTCATTGCAGGCTTGACACGGTTGCGCAAGTTGGGACCAATACTTCGGCCAAAATGAACCACTGCAAACGTGTGGCAACTAGGAACAAGAACGCTACTAGGAGCAAAGGGCATTGCTATTAGGAGCAAGGACGCTACTAGGGGCTCCTGGCAGTATATACAAGGACACTATCACTAGACTCAAAGACTCCGTCTTCACATGTTTCACACGTGTTGTCCTGTGGCTCCAACCTCCGCCCATGGGGCATGCGCCCTGGCGGGCAGCGCACACACCGTTAAGGCTACATTCGCTGAGGATACCGCAACTAGAAAACCACAATGAAAAGCATCAGCACCCGCGAGTAATGGATTTTGGGAGACTAAGCCAAGGCGACTATTTCTGCAGTGACATGCGCAGAAAGGCACGGAGCAAGTCAATTGATGAATTTGGGTGGTGCCGACGCCTGCCACTGTGCCACTGAGGAGGCACGGCCCCACTTGTGCAGGGAAGAGTGGAGCAAAACGCCATCCTGGAGAAGACAGGCAGGTTGCCGAAGATGACGTGACAATCTGTCGCGTCTAATGTTGCTATACTTGAAGATTTTGCACCTTGTCCGAGGATATTGGAGCTTGTAGTTTGTCAAGTTTGCCTTTCTCTGCCTACTCAGTCTACATTCCTGTGGACTGAGACTCAAGGGTGTGAGTCCTGCAGCCGGCGGCTCTGCACAAGTCCAGTGCCAGTGCTCAGAAGGAGCTCCCCACCGTTGAAGGACAGTGACACCTCAAGAAACAGAAAAAAAATTGAAATAAAATATCAACTAGACGACGAGTGGCCCGAAAGCATTTTTCATCACGTAGGAAGTCAGAGTGCGAGTTATCCGGTATGTGTGCAGTGTGAAGTGTGAAGTCGAGTGAGTTGAGGTAGTGTGTGGGTTTCTGTGCGTGTGTCTATGTCCGTGTGGAAATGAGTCTGCGTATGTGTGTGTTCGTGTAAGTTGAGGGAGTGTGTGGGTGTCTGTGTGTGATGCGGCCTCCCAAACCCCCCACCGGCGGCCAAGCGGTGACAGCCCAGCTCATCGTCGTGAGCATTTGGGCTGCTGGTAAGGGGAGAAGCAGCGTGCACGGCGCCAGGAAAAGCAGCACGTGTTAGTTGTACTACCAAGTCGCCAGTTCTCATCTTCCAGCTCCCCAGCTACTCCGCGCACTACAGTTATATACTACACCGTCGCCAGTTCGCAGCCACTACCCACTCGCCAGTTCTCCTCTTCCCATTCCCCAGCTACTCTGCGTACTAAAGTTGCACTGCCAAGTCGCCAGTTCTCATCTTCCCACTCCCCGGCTGCTCTGCGTACTACATTTGTACTACCAAGTCGCCAGTTCTCATCTTCCAGCTCCCCAGCTACTCCTCGTACTAAAGTTGTACTACAAAGTCGCGAGTTCTCAGCTACTACCCACTCATCAGTTCTCATCTTTCCGCTCCCCAGCTACTCTGCGTACTAAAGTTGTAATACGAAGTCGCCACTTCTCATCTTCCAGCTCCACAGCTACTCCGCGTACTAAAGTTGTACTACGCAGTCGCCAGTTCTCAGCTTCCAGCTCCACAGATTGCTCCGCGTACTAAAGTTGTACTACAAAGTCACCAGTTCTGAGCTTCCAGCTCCCCAGATACTCCACGCCCTCAAGTTGTACTACCCACTCGCCAGTTCTCATCTTCCCGCTCCCCAGCTACTCCGCGTACTAAAGTTGTACTACAAAGTCGCGAGTTCTCAGCTACTACCCACTCATCAGTTCTCATCTTCCCACTCCCCAGCTACTCTGCGTACTAAAGTTGTATTACCAAGTCGCCACTTCTCATCTTCCAGCTCCGCAGCTACTCCGCGTACTAAAGTTGTACTACGCAGTCGCCAGTTCTCAGCTTCCAGCTCCACAGATTGCTCCGCGTACTAAAGTTGTACTACAAAGTCACCAGTTCTGAGCTTCCAGCTCCCCAGCTACTCCGCGTACTACAGTTGTACTACAAAGTCGCCAGCGCTCATCTCCCAGCTCCCCAGATACTCCACGCCTCTCGCCCGCATTTCGAGCGCTCGACACGCACGATCTCCGCAGAGGGTTGCGCGGGCAGCCGGCAAATCCCCCTCTCCCCTGCATTTCGCGCACTCGACACGCACGATCTCCGCAGAGGGTTGCGCGGGCAGCCGCCAAATCGCACTCTCGCCTGCATTTCGCGCACTCGACACGCACGATCTCCGCAGAGGGTCGCGCGGGCACCCGGCACATCGCACTCTCGCCTGCATTTCGCGCACTCGACACGCACGATCTCCGCAGAGGGTTGCGCGCACAGCCGGCGAATCGCACTCTCGCCTGCATTTCGCGCGCTCGACACGCTCGATCTCCGCAGAGGGTTGCGCGGGCACCCGGCAAATCGCACTCTCGCCTGCATTTCGCGCACTCGACACGCACGATCTCCGCAGAGGGTTGCGCGGGCAGCCGGCAAATCGCACTCTCGCCTGCATTTCGCGCACTCAACACGCACGATCTCCGCAGAGGGTTGCACTTTCGGTTGACGCTGTTCGTCCCACCCTCCGCCTTTAAGAGACAATTTATAAAGTGGGGAAATGTTTTTTCATTAGGACATTTCCCGTGCTAGTTCACTTGCCTACTCATTGCATGCTTGCATACTCATCACTTGCATACTTACACTTGCATACTTCCACTTGCATACTTTGACAGCTTTCGCTCTTCCACTTACACAGGGCTACGTATAGCGTTCATGTTATCCTGCAAGTGTGGTGAAAGTGTCAATGTCTAGGTGTGTCTAACGGTAAGTGTCGAAGTGTCAGTGTTCAAAGGATTTTCTGGAAGAACCCTTCGCAATGCTTTCGGGAAAAATTAGAAAAACAATGCGAAAAGTGCCTGAAACTTTGACTTGTCTGAAGGACGAGTCTTAGCTGCAGGACTGCTGGATTTCTTTTTGCAAACAAGCAGGATGGGACCCTTCTTATATTTCCAAAAATATTAAGGATTCGTCCCAGGAAAAGTGTATATAGTTCATATATGAATATTCAAGCCGCTCCACCAAACCATTTTCCTCTTCGTGTTCAC